TTTCTGTTCATAGCATAACCATTCTCAGAAAGAAATGAAACTGTTATCTGGAACTTAAAAAATCTTGTTGCATGTCCTATAGTTTTTGATGAAAATGTGTGTTTTCATGTATTATGACAAACTAAAAAAAATTCCTGTTTGGGCTAAAATGTTACTTAAAACTAATTACATGCACTGATTGGAATGTGTGTCAGCTGCCATATTTAATTTGGACCCCATTAAAATTATAGTTGGTTGTTAATAATTAAAATATCAAAAAGAAAAGCATTGAAGGCTGAAACAGCATTTTGTCTGCAAATTTTTTTGTGCTCCACTTTGAAATTACCTCCTGAAGTAAGAAAAAAAATAAATCCATCTCTTTCCCCCCTTTAAAATTCAGAATAAAAATATACAAAATACATTTAAAAATCATGTTTAGACAAATTCTCTTTGTAGTTCAGTGCAGGCTACAGGCTAAATTACTAGAACTACATCAAGTTAAATGCTATTGAATGAAAGCTCATTACCTGATCTCAAAGCCTTTGTATTTACACAGTTTCAATTTGTGCAACTCAGCTTAAATTGGAAAAGACATTATTGTAATTATAAAAAATATTTGCACTTTTAAAGAATTTTTCTTTAAAAACAGTTATATCCCTGGAGTTCAGTAACTCTCCAAATTTATGTAATGAAAATTGTTTCTCCTCCTTCTCCATTTCACAATATATGGAAACTGTTTGAGGAGCAAATTCTGTCCTTTTTTGCCCTAAATGAATGTTTTCTTTATCTGTTTGACTTTTGTAGAACAAAATTTGTTATGAACCTGCGTATGCAGTTGTTAATATTTGTGGATAGATAGAAGGTAGGAGACTAGAGGTAGTGGTGAAAGTAATCTCACCCCTAAAGAGTTACAGCTGTGCTAATTATCAAGCATTAAGAACAAGCCTGCTCTTAATAGGCCACAGCTGGATCCAATTAAGAGGGTTATTATAAAAGAGCTGGGAGATGGAGTTTGTTGGCTGTGCTGAGAAGGAGTCAGTGCTGTGAGGAGCTGCCCATGAGAAACCACCGAGAAGGTATGGAACCTTTGTAATAGGATAACAACAAATATGGATCATTGTTAATGCAGTTAATAGATCGGGTGAAATCATAAGAAATACATCCAATGAAAATTACACTTTTTTCTCCTCAACTATAAGGATTTTTTTTTACTATCTACGAAATTTCCTCAAATGTGTTGGCTTTTGTTGTTGTGGAGGTGGTTTTGGGGTTTTTTAACTGCCTAAAAGCTCTCTGAATGATGCTTTGTCTTGCTCTTCACCACAACCCCTCTTGTATCACCTGAACACAGTGGTGGGCTTAAAGCACAGCTGGGTGAGAGAACATGATCAAGATAATTGACCGTGCTGAGATAACTGACTTCACTGTTGGAAAGACACCTTGGATAAATTGCTACCTAAATCCTCCTTACACTCTTCAGTACTTTCTTCATGTTGCTCTTTGTTCGTGAAGTAATGAGTGAAAAGCATCTGGCATAAAACCACACTGATGGAAGGGAAGGCAGCTTGAATTAAAATAATGAGGAAAAAGTATCACATTTTCACACAGTTAGAAGTGTTTGTCACCAAAAATACATACAAAGAGAAGTGATCTCTCTATATATATGCTCTGAGGAAGTCACTCTTCTGACTCTTTTCAAACAGGGCCTTCTATACTTTGCCTTTAAAATTTGAGAGAAATACTACATTAGTGTGCAAGTTGGCCAAGGTTTGTTGTCTGCTCCTCTTGCTGTGCATATTATGCTCTTTCTTAAATGCATCTTATTTTCTTTTCTTTGCGTTTTAAAATTTCTATTCATACCAAAAGAAAACATTTTAAAGATGTCTTTCAAATTCTGGAAATAACTCTTTCTGGTAGTGACATGTAATGAAAGTATTCGCAGTGGTGCAAATGGTGATTGATCACTGTATGGTGAATAGCAATAAATTATCAAAAGGGATTAATTATGGGAACAAAGATCTCTTCAGATGCCCCAAAAACTTTAACTGGCTTTTGTTTGATAGTTCATGTTGAGTAGTCCAAAGGATAGAAAACTGACATGAATGAAGAGTTGTATTTTTTACACAAATGTTGATCTGTAATAAAATGAGAATTTTTTTTTCTAATTATAGATACTTTGGGTTTTTGGAATGTCTTGCTGGAGCCAACTTGTTTAGATTTGAATTCAGTTGTTTAGATTTAGATGTAGCTGATGTAAATGAAAATTTTGACAGTCAGTAGAACTAAACAAATTTATAGGAGGTGAAACTGCTCTTCTGCTGGGCACACCACGATATTCCTTTTTTTTTTTTTTAAGGAGAATGAATTTTTCAGCTGTGGAGAGCTGAACAAAACAATTTATTTTAAAGAGTAATTATGAAGGAAAGGTTCCTGATTTCAGATTTCATCACCTTTATTTTCACCTGTTCAGGAAGTTTAAGATACCTGTCACTGCAGCTACCTCCCAAAGTGACATTTCCTCTTGGTGGCTTTCTACCCGTACAGTGTGTCTTTTATATTTGATTCTGGCAGCTTCTCCATAGTGATGTGAAGGTGTTCCTTTCTGATCCCAAATTCTCAGGGAGCAGTGCTGTCACAAGTAATTGTTCTGTTCACGGGTCAAGCTCCCATTTTTGTTTAAGTCCATGGGAACTTTGCTACTTGGGAGAAGTCTTATCTAAGGAGTGGGATGAGGAAAAGAAGGGAAAAGGTAATCCTTGAGCATTTGAAAGAGTTAGGTTGATACAAGCACAGCCCCACTGGCTGGCTTTGACATGGCTTCTTTGATTCTGATTGAACTGTTGAAAATTGCTTCTGATGAATTGTGGAGAAGGATAAGAAGTAAAAGGAATAGCACATTCCCTTGGTTGCTTCCCCTTCCATTGCAGTCTCTGTTACCCAATATTTTTAGGTTTTTAAAAAAAATATTCAAAGTAAACCTGAGATCTTTCACAATACCCTTTGGGGGAAAGCTTTTTGTTCTTAACAGGATTCAATATTTCTTATAATTTATTACTGATTTCTTTGGTGAGTATAAATTTTCAAAGTGGCCATAGAGAAACCATTTCAGAAGATGCTGAAACTACTAAAATCACATCAGAGGAAGTGAGCAAATGGCTGTTAGCCTTTTGTCCTCTTTTCCATGATTGTACGGCATGAGATGAACAAAAATATAATTGTTTTCTGATAAAAAATATTTTATTTTCTTCTCAGCTTTGTAATCAAAGCTAATTTTTTATTGAAAAGTTTATTTTGAATGCTGCTCAGCTCTGTCTTTCAAAGCTCCAAACTATAAACCTTGGACATGGGTTCTCTATTGCCATAGATCTCAATAAATAAAATGCCTTGGGTACATGGGAGAGTTTCTGAGGTGTTTGACTACAAAGACTCGGGGTTTGCGCCAAAGCTGACTGAAATGTGGTGGTCAGGGGTTTTTAATTTATATTTATTCTTTTTACTTATTAATAGAAAGCAGAAAAGTGTGTAGGACTTCTCAAAAGCCTAGATTTTCTCTCCATCATTCCAGGACAATAAACTCTTGCTTTACCCAAAGTGGCTGAACTTAGGTTCAATATTTGGCATATTTTAGCTCCAGGATTGTGTCTCACTTCATAAGGGGAGTTGAACAACCAATGTGTTTTGCATAATGTTTTGGCATGGGAGTATCCAATAATAGTGCTTCGTTTTCACCTTCAATAGAAATTTTTGAAGTATTTGTAAAATATAATTATTCTATTTTGATGCAGTGAACCACCATAAATTATTTGGATATAGGAAAAAATATGAATTTTATTACTTCTCCACTGATTTTGAAGTAGAGTTTACATTTAAATGAAGTCCTGCTACCTAAAATACTGATTTTAAAAAGTGTATATATTAGAATGCTAATTTCCTAATTTAACATTTTTATATATTAGAACTGTGCATGACAAGAGCTCTCATTTTTCTAAATAACAGAAAGCCCCTGCTTGCTACCATGTGAATTAGTTCACAATAAATAATGTTGGAGCTGATAAGAATTGTGTGCTCTGTTAAGTTATTCTTATTCTGTCTCTCAGCAAGTGAGGGATGGGTTTCAGGGTAGTTTCTAGGCCAAATCCCACCACGTTGGTGGATGGGATACTAAAAACCATCAATAACAAGTTTCTTATGTATTCTCTGAGATTCTACATCAGTTCAGCAGAGGGATTTTAACAGTTCAATGCAGATCTGAGGTAATAATTAGTATATGCAGCATTTACAAGGTGCAAGAAGGAATTTCCTTATGAGGAGAAACACCATACGATGTGAGGTATTAGTTAAAGGCTGAGATTACAGGATTAAGGGGAAGGAAAGATCAAGTTATGGAAAACTCAGTCACTTCTAAAGCAAAAATCTTCTTAGTTTTAGTGGCTAAAGGGGATAACATTATAACATCATTTCATGTAGACTGAGCATGTTGGGTGTTTTTTTGTTTTGAAGAGTTTCAAACTATTTGTTACAGGTGAGACTTCCAGGTTCAAATCTCTGCATTCCACTTTTGGTAATCCAGATACCTAAACATCTGCCCTCCAAGGAAATGCATCTGCCATGTACTCAGTAATGAGGCACACTACAGAAGCCTTTGAAATTCAAAATAAAAAGTCACTATAGTCACCTGCTCTTTTCTGGGAAATGCCTATGTAAGCAGTTTTTGTGATTGTTCATGAAGCTTTCAGACAGGTATCCCCTCGGGAGCTGTGAATGTCAGTAGAGTGTGTCATGATATTTTTTATTCAGGTTGCATATCAGCATTCTTTACACCACTACTTCTTTAGGCATCTAGGACAATGTATAATTGGTTATATAAATTTATTTCATTTCTCATTAAATTTATTGCACTTGCTGTGTGGAAATGGTTCTCCTTAATGTATTGTCACATCTCACTATGGACCAAAGCAGTTGTCCAATGCTAGTTTCCTATGGTTCACAAAACTTAACCTTTGCTATTCCAGGCATGGCAAGTCAGCTGGAAATTCAGAGTGCCAGGAGAAAATTCCAAACTTGTTTTGCAGAAGAAGATTCTGCTGTTTCACTGATCTGGAAAGTCCCGTCCATCCCTTGGTGGTTTCACCTTGCACTCAGGTTTGAGCATAAACAACTCTGTCCTTTCATATGTAATAAGAAAATATTCTAGTGGTCAGGAGTGATTCCTCATCTTTTTATAAAGGTTGATGTTACCAAGCTACTTGTCACCTGTCTTGTGACCGCTTGTAATTACCAGCTCTGGAAAGATTTTTATTTTGAAGGAATAAGTTTGGGGTTTTCTTTAAAAGCAGTTTAAACTACTCAGAGTTTTTGACCTCTGGAAGGAAATTCACAGCTGACAGGCTGTTTATGAGGGACCTTGCATTCCACATAGTAACCCACAAGGAAAAAAAGTTTACAAGTTTCTCTAGATTCAGAAAGTGTCTATTTTAACTTTGAGCATTGTATTTTGAGTAAAACTAAATGTGACACCAACTGGCATGACTATCATGAGATAACTGGACCCAAGGGATTCGAAGCATTTGGCTACATGTACCGGTAAGAACCCAGAATGTAAATTATAATAATTACTTCACAATAAAAGTCTGCAGAGCTGCACCGTATTTCCCAAGTAGATTGTGGTTAGCAAAATGCTTTTGGATACTTTCAGCAATTTCATTTCCTTCATACCCTAAGGTTCCTTCTATTAACATCAGTCTGATGAAGGTGTGAAATGAACAAGTGCAAATATAACTGAATTTGGTTCTACAGATTCAGTGCTCATTTGTAAAGGAAATGTTTATGCCCAGTATTGTTTAAATATTGCTGATTTTTTCAAAGCCAATTCTGCAGATGCCTTCTGCAAGCATTCAGTTGTTATTATCTATAAAGTCACATTTCAATGAGAATTTTAACCAAGACAAATAATTTTGATACATTATAGTCAGAAGATGAAGAGGATAGGCAGAATCTATGAGATAGCTTTAAACACCTCAGCCTTTTTGCTGAGCTTTACATATCTTGGATATTTTACTGTGGTTAATATTCCTCTGCTTGTCATACCCACGTAGCCTCCAGTGCTGACAGTGACACTTTCTGTGCTAGAAACTCCTCACGTTGCTCAGACTGCCAAATGTGTGGTAGCCTGACAAGGGAAAGGGAGAAACCTCCAGGGTCATAAAAAATGAGAAGGGTGGTTCATAGCTGATGTGGAGAAGCAGGCAGCTCTGGTGCTGCTTACATGATCTAGCAGAAGAAAATAGCACAGTAAAAGTTCACGTGTGTTCTCAACCACGTATCAGAACTTCCATAGTAGCGAGATAAGGAGCAAGTGTCTTTAACCTGTATTCAGCTCATAATTGGTGGGGATTCTGTGTATGTTCTGTGCATCTTTGGGGCATAAAATTTTCATTTGTTTTCTGTTAACAACCAAACTTTTAACTCTTTGGTTACCCTGAGCCAAAATGAAGAGGCTGCTGTCTCGTGGTCTATGAATTTGTAAATTGCACCTTAGAGCTGCCTTGCCTTTCACTCTGTGTGTCCCAAGTTTAGTTTATGTGCAAGTCCCAAGCTTTTTTATCTGCAAGTGGTTTGGGGTTTTTCTGTGATTATCAATTGAAGTATTTCACTTCCAATGTTAGCTGCCTGGATTCATATTTCCCTTAGATTTAAGACTTTGGTGGAGCAAATTATGGTGCTGCTGGTGGGGAGGGGAGAGTAGGGGAGGGAAGAAGTGGGAAAAAACCTCCAAATCTTTGATCATTGTGTTTTCTCTTCCTTTTGGGACTTAAGAACAGCTTCATCCAGTTAACCTCCTTCACAGGGTGCTGTTCAGCTCAGTAGGTGATGGCACAGTTCTGCAGTAGTAGCTGTGAGTGAAGGTACTTCTCTACCTTCATCTTTTCTCAGGAATTAAATACTTCTCTGGCTGCACTTCTTTGTGACTGAAGAAGTAGCTAAACCTAATTTTTCAACAGATCTGAAAAGTAAAACTTTTTTTTCTGCCCAGATGTAAAGCCTGTGAATATGCAGGAATTGGAGATAAGTTTTCTTTGCTACTTTCTGAAAATGTAGGTTGAATTTGACACACTCTAAAACTTACCTACGCATAAGAGTACAAATGAACAGTGTTTTCCAGTGCAGTGTTGGCCAAAGTTTTCACAATCATTAATTATTTCCACTACAGAAATAGATCATGCTATTAGAACAAAAGCAGGCTCTCTTTGTAACTCCAGGAAATCAAACATCAGCCACCCAAAAGTAATAGCCTGTCATTACATTCCTGTTTATCAGAGAACAAAATTTTGCTCTTGCTGACTTGAAAAAGATCCCTGGAGTAAATGCTTCCATAACATACATAAATCATGTTCTCCATCAAGTAACCTAATGATATTTTGAGGGTGGTATCACTAGCTTTCCATGCAGTATTTTGCCTGACAAGGGATGAAAACTCTGTTCTAATTATTTGGAACAGAATAACAGGGGCAGATAAATAATACTGAATAAATTTTTTTATTATCTTTTCAGGAAAAAAACAGAAAAAAAAAAACCCACCAAAAAACCCCAACAACCTACAACCACCTTTCTGGGGTTTTATTTTTACTAAAACCCCAGTCTCAAGAACCATGCTCTTGAAATGAAAAAAATTCATTTTTTGCTTGTCATTCTTATTGTTTATTCTTATAGATAGGGTGGATAAAATACTTGAGGTATTGTTATTGTGGGTAGATTACTGATTTCTCTTAATGCTTCTTGAAATACTGTTCAGGATGTTGATCAAAATCTAACTGATTTTGTGTGTCATTCTTATTGTTTATTCTTATATAGGGTGGATAAAATACTTGAGGTATTGCTATTGTGGGTAGATTACTGATTTCTCTTAATGCTTCTTGAAATACTGTTCAGGATGTTCAGGATGATCAAAATCTAACTGATTTTGTGTTTACTGCATCTGCAATATTGTTTCCCCAAAAAGACTTCTTGTCTCTTGTCTAGGTGGGTATGCAGTGTCTTTTCTTCAAGAAATCCAATAAGACACATTCATTCTTTTCATATTTTACTTTACTAAATCAAAGCACAAAAACCTAAATGCTTTTAAAACAACTAGAACTGCTAACTTGTATAAAGTGTATTAATCACATTTATAGTAACCAATTGGTATATAAACACTACTATGAGACAACATAAACTAAATTTTGGATGTCACAGAATGTGGAGCTGTAATTTGTGGTTTTTTGGATGTCACAGAATGTGGAGCTGTAATTTGTGCCACAGATTTATGGTTGCCAGTCTTGCTCTAGCAAGAAGGAGCAGTTAAATGTCCCTTGATCACTTGAAGCTCCCCCATTGCACTGGGGAGGGAATATTTTCTTGTGGAAAGGACGACTGTGACTTCTGTATCCTTTAAGACTGATCTCCATAGACTGGAGATTCCAGCTGGAATCCCAAGTTCTCTGAAAACAAGGGCCAAAATATCCATCTTAAGGAAGAAACTTCTGAACAAGTGCTTGTCACTGTTTTTCTGACACCACTTTGTGTAGGCAGACTGACTCCCCATGGAGAAAGTGGGGTGCAGGAAAGATGGAAAGTCTGGACTACTGGAATTTTAGGAATTTTGTGTCTGAATTACTCATCTCTAAAGTTAATGAATTTGTTTGTCATTTGTAGTCTTCCAAGTTGACCCTAACTTTTCCATTGCTGAAGCATATTTCTGCTTAACTGTAGTACCTTTGGATTTTTAACTCATCCTTTTAATGCCTTGAAGTGCACCCCATGCTTTCCTTGTAGGGTTTGCACAAACTGAGCATTCTTATTTTCTGAAGCAGATCTTGGATTAAAGTCCTGCTAAAAGCACATGAGGCACCTGCATTGTCATGATAAATCTTTGTGTCCTGTCCATAAACCACGGAGTTCAGGCAGCGGAGTCAATAATCACAATATCATGAATCATTTTCTACAGTGGGCCTGACAGGGATGATTTGAGGATGTTGGTAACTGTGTGTTTGTACACAGCAATGGTAACACATTGCTGTGTTTCTGCATGTACCTCAAAACCAACCAGTTTTAAAGAATTTTACAGAACCAGAACCACCCCAACACTCTATTAGCCCCTAATGACAGCCATTCATGCTTTGTTACCTTCTGCTATGCCAGCTCTCAGTCTTCTGTGATAAAATTAATGAAATTGCTGACATTTAAATGTCTTCTCATCCATACTCCAGATAATTACCTGTATATACTTTAATGATTTCCCCCCACACTTCATGCAATTAAAGACATAAGCAATTTGTCTTTCTTCTAAAACATTTTGAGGAAGCATACATCTTAGGGCTATTTGTGTCAAAACATTATTGTCCCCTCTAATTTGGAAATGCTCCTAATACATTTGAAATATCTGGGACTAATTTAGCTGTTTAAAAAACTCAAATGGCTTGAATTTGCCTAAGTTTTCTTTTGAATGCTGATTTTCCTTGAAGCTGCTCATCTATATCAACATAGTTCATATCTTTTCAAGCCTAGCAGGAATTTTTTTTATCTCGTAGAGAGAAAGTAATTTGATGGATTTTTAGATACCTTCACCTCGATTTTAGTATTTAAATAGAAGGTGTTTAGCTATTTTGAGGACTGCAGCTTCAGCTATGAGTGACTGTTCTGCAGAAGGCAGACATTTCCATACATTTCTTGTGTGGCTGTTTGAGCCTTCTGGACTGACAGAACACCTTGGTATCATTTAATCATTTTCTCCATTGAGTATCCAGGTTTTATGCATTGCATAGCTTATCCTATTTGTGTGTTTTGTCCTGGTTGTTACTTGCCCTCCTCTCCTGCCATGCAAGAGTGGCCATGCTGAAGCACAGATGACCATGAGATTAAACTGTGCCCAAAATTACGATCAAGTCTGACTCCCTGTGGTGCTGTTTGTCCTTACTGCCTGATAGGGTAGGCGCTGTTCTACTGTGGTACTTGGTAGGATCATTTCTGTAATAACACTGTTTTTCTTTTCTTCTAGAGAGGTGGAAGCTACAGTATCTAAAAGTCATTAAGTCAGAGATTCATTGTTTCATAGCATTTCTGCATTGATGGACCATTGTGACTAGGCAGGAAGCCAAATAGGTCAC